ACCACGATCACTCAGGAAAAACAAAGAAACATTCCTATAATTGTGGTTGCATGAAGTGTCACAAGATGTCAATACCATCGTCTAATAACCAGGTGCTCTGCAAAGATTTCTGCACATACTGGAACTTTACAAGTGCTTTTTATACATACATGCTATTGCTAAAAGTAAACTTATGAACCACACCTGTATGGCAGTTAGTGAATTCGTCGGTGTGTTTTACAAAGAGGTGTCAGTCTGCTTCTCATCTGTCATTATTTCTCTGCACAGCTGCACAAAATTTTACCAAGCTCATTGGCAGGCTCAAAAACATTAACGTCGTATCTACTTTCCACTTTCTTCAGCCTGTGATATACAAAATGAATCTACGAAATGCCTACAACATGTTTTTTTATAACATTGAAGCTGTTTATAGGCTGGCCTCAGTTTGTGCAGCCTATCGAAAAATGGGTATACTTTGTTGATAAACTTTGTTGCTGCGTGTTGAGTATAGTTGCTGTTGACACAGTGTATAAACGAGATCGGTAACTACTTGAACTAGGTCACAGTTGAGCTTGACATAAATAATATTGATGTTTTTGTTTGATGATAGATTGTTCCAGGCAACGTTGATAACATCCTTTAGCTTGAAATTCTTTCATGTTGTCAGGCAATATAAAGCTGTGAACGCTGCAGTGTAATCAATTGCGTAAGCATAAATGCTCAAGAAGACGATAAATAGTCAGTTTTGATGCTTGGTTCAACTAGAATGGCTATAACAGCGCTATAGTGGTCAAGCGTTTTCGAGAAAAAAAAACTTAATTACACTATCATAAGGGTGGTTAGCTGCGCAAGATGGCTTTCACTTTATTCGTGTGTGTGCGTGTGTGTGAACAGCGCAAAATAAACTAGGCATGTAGGGAAGAAGACGCACACAGAGCCGATACTTTCTCAATTTTTCAAACGAAACCATGAATATAAATACACTGCGAACCATCTGTCCTTTGTGAAGCTTCATCGCGTTTAAATTTGTTTAATTTTGATCGCAAGCACCTTATTGAAGATACCTGAACCATTTCGAAAACTTGCGCCATTCGGGAATCCGGACTCAATTCTACGATTCCTAACGGTAAACTATACTTTGCGACTTCGTTTTCTTTTTCGTGCAAAAACGCTAGTGATTCGCTGTCAAGCGAAACCCCCGAACGGCTGAAGCGATCGAACAGCGATGCAATGACTGGTATAATGATGAACTGCGTCGTTCAAAAAGTATACACACATCTGTAAACACTGTTTACGTATCTCACGCTGTCGACGGCGACGCTTCGCGGAATTGCGTAAGGCAAGCGTAATGTATTTCGAAAACGTTGGCAATTGCATAACACAGTCCTGAACAACAAACATGGCAGTATGAATAAAAACAAGCACGCGATTAACGAAAATGTGATCGTAATCGCCTCTCGGTCCACAAGCACATGTAAGGTCCGTTCGATTCATCTGCACCAGTCGGAACTGGTTCACGGCTGTGCACGCGAAGTTCGGAAATTGTGCAGCGTGAGTTCAGCGGTGCAGGCACAGCACGACACGGAAAACGAATGACGATGTGCCGACAAGGTGCAGGCCTCATTTCTTTTCGCTTAATTTACACCATTCAGCACACACTGGCCGATGGCGAATCACACATGCGGACAGTTTATGAGGTGCAAACATCTTGAAAATACACAGCGCGTTTGTAGAGGCAGGTACGGCGCCTAAGCCACCTACGCCCAAGTGCTGCGTCGTCTGCTCAGCTGCACGCGCGGCTGCACCAAGCCGGCACTGTCATTTAGAAGTGCGGCAGCTTGGGCTAGTTGGTATGACATGACGATAGTTATAGCGCGAGAACAAAACGACGACACAGAGACAAAGACACGAAAGACACGAGCGCTAACTTCCAACTGAGTTTATTGCGCAGAGCACGAAAATATATAGAGGAGACAGTAACCATGTGATAAAAACCATATGGCACAAAGAGCAGAACATGAGTAAGAGAAAAACAAAAACAAACAACACAAAAACAAAAGCACTGAAAAACGGCAAAGAAAAATCTATAAGAAAACGAAACAGAACGGTAAAGATAATAACTACCTGCCCACACTGAAACCTTCGAGGAACCTGAGTTCCTTCTCGGACCGAGCCACGGAGGCCTTGCTAATACAAGGCACCTGTTCGCGTGCCATCTGCGCGGCCTCGACAATGACTCGGGTGCGTTCATCTCTGTGCTTGTACAGCGTCGCTGTGTCTTTGAAGAGGGGAACACAATTGCACTCAGTGCAGTGCTGAGCAAGAAAACCATCTTTCTCGTTTCTAACATTGTTAGCGTGTTCTCTCAGCCGATCGTTCAGACACCTTCCGGTCGTTCCGACATAACAAGCACCGCATGAATAATAAGCACCGCATAACATTATGTCGGAACGACCGGAAGGTGTCTGAACGATTTGCTGAGAGAACACGCTAACAATGTTAGAAACGGGCAAGATGGTTTTCTTGCTCAGCACTGCACTGAGTGCAATTGTGTGCCCCTTTTCAAGGACACAGCGACGCTGTACAAGCACAGAGATGAGCGCACCCGAGTCATTGTCGAGGCCGCGCAGATGGCACGCGAACAGGTGACTTGTATTAGCAAGCCTTCCGTGGCTCTGTCCGAGAAGGAACTCAGGTTCCTCGAAGGTTTCGGTGCGGGCAGGTAGTTATTATCTTTACCGTTCTGTTTCGTTTTCTTATAGATTTTTCTTTGCCGTTTTTCAGTGCTTTTATTTTTGTGTGTTTTGTTTTTGTCTTTCTCTTACTCATGTTCTGCTCTTTCTGCCATATGGTTTTTATCACATGGTTACTGTCTCCTCTAAATATTTTCGTGCTCTGCGCAATAAACTCAGTTGGAAGTTAGCGCTCGTGTCTTTCGTGTCCTTCTTGTCTCTGTGTCATCGTTTTGTTCTCGCGCTATAACTATCGTCGGCACCGTCAGCGTAGGAGGTGCAGGAAAATTGTGAACCAGTGCTGCACCTCTTCTGCACCTTTCAAAACTAATGGCAAGGTTCACAGGTCGTCAATGCTGCACCGCTGAAACGAATGGCAAAGTGCAGCACCTCGTGAACTGGTTCACGTGGAGCAGGCGAACCGAACGGACATGCAGAAGATGGGCGTGAAACAAATAGACCTCAAGACACGGAGGAAGGAAAAAGGTAAGGAGAGGGCATGCCCAGCCGGCGCAGGGCGTAAAAAATGTGGCGGAAATGACATCATGGTGGCCATATTCGCTAGGCACAATGGCGGCCTTGTTATGGTTACGTGTTGCGCAGTGGAGCTGGTCTAGCAGTGAGCGGCCGCGGCTGGCGGCGGAATGTGTGCCTCCCCAGGTCTCGTGCCGAGCCGTGGCGGACAGTATCTGTGCTCTGCGCCGCGTTATGGTTACGCAGTGTTCTCCTGGCTGTTACATTACTCTTAGCAACGTTTACAAATCCCTTTGTCCATCACGGGGTTTCAACAGTGCGTAGAACAAGTGCATATCCATGTGTCGTGCAGCGGATGACGCGGATGAAGCAGTTAGTGTTCAGCGAAATTGCGTTGGGCACCATGACGAAGCTGAATGACGACGAACGCCTTGCAGGTCAGTGACGGTTGAGCAGTGCTCCTGCTTGTGACAACGGTTGACGCTGTTGAGCCCAACAAGACGCCGTGAGGACCATGTGCACATACGTAGTTTCGTGTTGTGTATGTACAGTAAGAACTTGCATGCGCGTATTAAAACACCTTTTCTGTTCCGCTTGGTACACTCTCCACCAGCATTGCATGTAATCTCAACGTAACAGCAACCACGTTCAACTGTCACTAGCACCGTGCTCAAAGTCACCACGGTCGCAGAATGCTGACGCCGGTGAGTTTCACGCGGAACACGGACACAGTGGTAGGATGCTGCGTCGGCCGCGTGGCGGAATGCAACCGTAGAAGGCGCACGATCGATCGTGTTGTCTGTACACTTGCTGAATTAATGACGTGAAAGCACTCGCCGTTGTCAGTGCATCTAGCGCGCGTTCTCTCGTAGTTGCTTCGTTGTCGGCGAGCTGTTACTCCCTGTTATTACTCGGACGAAGCGATTTCGCTGAAGGTGTCCCGCTGGCTCAGAGTAATGAGCCCCGTTCCATTAGTTTCGGATCGTCGCGACACACGCGCTGCGCAGCCCACGTGCTTTTCGAGCCGGAGAGGGAGTCGCGCCTTCTGCTTCGCATTCGGAGGTAAACAAGCGAGGAGAATTTGCCTAGTCAATATGGCCGACTTCCGGCTTCATCGCAGCTTCACAATGAGTGACGTCAGGGCCTCTCCTTACCTTTTCCTTCCTCCGTGCGTTATCTTGAGGCACCACTATGGTGTTCTAGCCACCATAGCACCACGGCAGCAACGATCTCCTTTTATACCTGTGTCACACGGGCGCGCAAAAAGTCTTTTAAGTAAGCGGTCTTTTACGAAGTTGAAAGACTTTTAACAAAGAGGTGTTTGCGGCGCAGACACACGGCAGCAACGATCTCCTTTTAGTGTTTTCGTTCGAAGACGCTAGCGAAAGCGTGGCGCTAGCAGTTGAAAGAGAAGCAATGAAAATTAAACGATGTATCACGATGTACAAATTAAAGACTTGTTGCACTGCTCGTTTCTTCAAATAAGTTTAAGAATAAGAGATGAAGAAACACCATTGTGAATGTTTTCTGCACTAGATAAGGGAGCATTCCCATAACTAGCGACGTGCACAAGTCCGTCTGGCACCACTGTGCTTTTATTTAATGTATTTGTTTTTCGCTGCTCTCGACACGTTATGGGCGACCGTACAGAAGAAAAAGCGAGGATCGCAAGCCTCACGGCCTGCCTTCTCGCTCTGGAAAGTGAGGCAGACGCTGCAAAAGCCGCCAAGGAGAGGATCAAGCAGCAACTGCTGTTCAGCAATTCCTTGCTGTGTGCACTGGAGCTGTCGGAGAAGGCCTGCGATCGATCGATCTGGGCCTTCAGACGAAACGAGAGGTGGTTCGAGGGAACTGTACCTCACCTCGGTGAGCAGAACTTCAAGCAATCTTTTCGAGTGTACCCGTCCACCTTTCGTTTCATTGTGGAGAGCTTGCGCAGTGAGCTCGAAAGACAGTGCACCAGCAAGCGTGAAACCATCACTCCTGAGAAGCGAGTTGGCATTGCCCTATACAAGCTTGACCACTTGAATGACGGGCAAACACACGACTGCCACGCTTTCCTCGTTTGTGCGAAATGGCGCGGCGCGAGACCGAGCGTCACTACGTGATATTGCCGACGCGTTGTAGCTGCTTACGAGAGTAGAAAAATAAATAACCCTTAAAACAGTTCATTACATCTTCTGCAGGATATGAAATTTGTTTTTACAAAGAGTTTTGGTGACAGAAAAATAAGCATTCGCTCTTTTTTTCCCACCACTCGAAAATTGCTGGCGCCCACTGGTTTCGAGGCTACTCATTCGGAGCCGTAAGAGAGATCGACGAACTCCGTTTACAAAAAAGACCTCTTCTGAAAAGGAGTTCGCTCTGTGCCGTGTGTCTGCTGTCAGGAACTCCTTTTCGGAAAAAGACCGCTTACTTAAGACTTATAAGTGTCCGTGTGACAGGGGTATAAGCTCGCTGGTCTCTTTTTGGTTCATTTATGGCGCGGAGCGTAGAAGTTGGGTCAGTACACTCTTGCTACCTTCCACATTTTTAATCTCGGAGGTCATGCATTCATAGTTAAGATAGCCAAGTGGCATAAATGAAAATTTGCGCAAGAAAATTCGAGATCGTAACGTAGCACATACGCACTATTACTTTTATGGCGGTCGAGCGAAAATATCTAAAGGTTTGCGCTTCGACCAATTTGTTCACTTAATGGAGAAGAGAAAAAAGTGTTTGCTCTGTTTACCTGTTCTTTCTCCATGTGTTAAGTGGCGCTGCCCATCTCACTTGTGCGTTGCTTCTTTATTTAAAATCTAAACGGGAGCAAATCAGATCAGAAACAACTGACATTATGCAGGCTTACACATACGAATTCTGCTGTTTAGCTCAATTTTATCATCAATGTCACTGATATTGATGATTTCATTATCAATATATTTTTTTAAAAAGAAGTTGCTGTCATGGGATTTCTTCTTGCCCGCTCGATGACGTTTCAAGCTGTCAATGAAAAGCAAGTGATTACCCCATTCATGATGTAACTATTGCTGGTCTTGATCACTGTGGGCCAAGGTTAACAAGTATGTACCAATGTAGGTACAGCTTTTGCCAAGCGAAAACATGTCTTACTTTAAGAATATTAAATGATGACACCTAGTTGCCCTGCATAAGAACAATAGCCTTCTCAGTCCCTAAAACAAAATTCCTGGTAAGTTTATTTGAAACTTCTTTATCTTGGTCTTGAGCATACAACAAGAGAAAAAAATTAATTTGGATCAACAACAATTAAAGAACTGACCAAACATGGCTGTCTCCAAACGACACCTCTGGGTCCTAACAGCTGTGGAAGCGCTCACAGCAGTTTCTGTTCTGGAGGCTACAGAAAACGCACTTTGAAGAATTCTTCCTAGACATATCTCCATACTCAATTTTTCTGCTTTTCCTTCTTCATCCAAGCTTGTGGTTTGCAGGAACATTGTGCAAATGTCATATCTCACGTTGTCTGGTGGCGACAGAGTGATCTTGCACCTCTGTCGGCCGGTAAACATTTCCTTGCTTTAGTTTTTTTTTCATTTTCTCCTCATTTACATTGTCCATCAGACACAGCAGCTGACGCTTTAGTTAAACATGTTGCCGTGTTTGTTTTTTGGTCAACTCGAGTTTTTGAGACCATTGCTTGCTCTTACATTTCATCCACTCATTAGAGCATGAACGTTATTTACAAAAACTGGATGAACATTCAGATAGTGTTCTTCCTTGTGTTCAATAAATGTGACAGTAGGACACAAAGCAGCTGATGAAGTCGACCTCGGTCATAATTCTGTTACACTTAGAAACCATTCACATTCTTCCTTCTGTCATTGAACCATTGTCTTTCCACTAGACAAAGGACATTATTTTGACGCTTTCCTCCTACACTTCACTGCACTCCTTGTTTCAGCTATCGTGCCAATTGAGACGTCTTGTTGGCCATTGCTGTAATCACTATAATGCTCCACATGGCTGCCATTGTAAACATCATTGCCAATAAATTCAGAATCATCAGAGTGTGAAAGATCAGCAGCATTTTCTTGTAGGAAGGACTTGCATTTCTTTTTCAGTCAGGTGCCTTCTCGTCATCAATAGTGTGCTCATAAGACCCATAGACACCGATTGGGGACAAGCAATTTGAATGCATGTTTACTGAAATTTACAACAAAGATTATGCTTAAAAATCGATTAGAACTTGACTGGACACCCTGTAGTGGTGCTGTCCGATATACTAGCTAAAAAGAAACCACGAAAACCTCTAGAAAAAATAACTGCTCCCCACAAGGACAAAGAAGTTGATGTTCGCTGCGAAATGCCATTTTCATACACACTATATATCACAGATGCGGGACATCGAGAGCCATCTGATTCAGCTTAAGCAAGGTGATGCTCTGCTCTGCACTTGAGAAATTCAAGTTGAAAGTACAAAATGTTTGGTTCACAATCAGCTCCACTTAGCTTGAACAAATGGCCTCGAATCGGAGTCATTGGGACACAAGAGAATAACGCAAGTCATTAGACGAAGCATTCTAACAGGCACTACCTCAACCAGAAATTTCTTACTACTCAGCCATCTTAACCATACAATTGGCTGGACCTCTAGCAAGCTGCTGGACTGGATGGTGCCATTTTTCTTGTCTGATACAGCTACAAACGATGCGAATGTTCTTGCTTGACTTCAATATTTGTCTTAGCGATCACCAGAAAGAAAACCAATGTATTAAAACAACACAATAATATTGAATGCTGGGGAAAAGCAGCGTTTTGACACGCAGGCTACTGCTATGGCTGCCTTAATGTTCAACTGGTTGTTTCCAGTTGCTTTTCATTCACAGCTCATAACAAATGCTTAGATGTTACTGGATTGGACTTTATTGTGCAGAATTGTACTTGTATTTTAATAGCAGGCATTACTTTGCAGGTGGTGTCCTATGAATCCCCATTGTTGCAAGGTGCCCAAGTTTCCACAATGGTGCAACCTGAATCCAAGAAAAAAAAACAGGAAGAATTATTTTCTGTGGACAAATAAATTGGTGTGATATAGAATCTAAGGCATAAAAATATTGGCTGCAAATGGAGCCAGTGGACACATTCGCTCTACCAGTTTTTTCAGAGACAATAAAGACTTACCTTGAGTGCATTCAGTGGCTGGCAACCAAGGTCATTATGCTTTGAAAACACAAATAGCTTTTCAAGAGATTACACAAATTTGTGTGTTATGAAAACAGTGGCAATATCCTGCATGCTAATGTGAAAGACAGACAATCTTGTATCGTTTCACATATTGTCACAATGCAAATGATATTGTCTGTATATTGTTCATGCTACTCTTGTTCTATTTATTAGGCATAAACTAACAATGGGTGAGGCCTTTGTCTTGCAGTGGGCATAGTTACACTGATGATGATAATGAGACACAATTTTGTATTCAAGTACCCTTGAGGAGTTATAGAGCTCTTGGCAATCCTGGCCAATGGAGGACTATTTTTATTTTAGCAGGAGTACACAAAAGTAGGCTCAAAGCTATATGTGCTACACTCAATGAAAGCAGTATTGATGCTATGCACAAGTAGGCATGACAAACCACGTTTAAAGGTGTGGCACAGAATTTCCTTTAAACCCATGTAAATTACTTCTTGCGGTGGTCTTCACAAGGCCAGCTATATGCACCATATTTCCAGAGAAGGCAGCCATATCACTGGCTTTCACTATCCCCTCGATCACTACTACCATCAATGCCATGTGGTTGAGTTGTTGATGGCAGTTGCCTGATGGCACGCTTTCTCTCAGCAACGCTGCCAGGTGAGGCACCCAAACTTCGAGGAATCATACCATATTTTTGCGCGTATAACCCGCCCCTGCATATAATCCGAACCCCCACCTTCAGCTCACCGAGAAAGAAAAAAAAAATCCTCGCGTATTGCCCGCACATTTGATATACAGGAAAGGCTGTACAAAAGCTACTGCTCAAACAACAAAGCACATATGTAGACAGAAAAAGCTTTATTTAGGAAGCAGAATACGCTGTCTGCAAGGCCAGTCACAATTCACTCACTGTCGGTGCTCTCGCTAGAGCTATCACTTGAGCCGCAGTCCTGACTATTATGCACAAGGCCATCTTCGGTTCCATCCATGTTGTTTGTGATGCAGCATTTCTTGAAACTTTTCACACTATCTCACCTGGAATGGCCTTCCATGCCTCGACAATCCACTCGCAGAATAGGGCAATATTAGGCCTTCGTACTCGTCCTGTCGGCGTCAAGTCGTAGCAGCCTTCGGCCATCCACTCGGCGTAATAGCGCTTGACATGCGCTTTGAAGGGCTTGTTAAGCGACACATCTAGAGGATGCAACATTGACGTCATTCCACCGGGTATAACAACTAAGTCGGTGCCGTTGCGTGAAAGGCGGTCCTTCACTTCCTTAGTTAAGTGGCCGCGAAACGAGTCAAGAACGAGCATGGACCTCTTTGCGAGCATCGCACCGGGCCTCTTCTCCCACAATGTCTTGATCCAGTCTACGAACAAGTCACTGTTCATCTACGCGTTCTCGTGTGCGCGCACCACCACACCGGCAGGCAAATGAACCTTTGGTGGAGTTTTCCTTTTCAAGATGACGTACGGTCGCAGTTGCGCGCCGTCGGCAAGGACACAAAGCAAGACTGTGATGCGCAGTTTCGTGTTACCGCCGGTCAGCATGCTCACCGAACTGCTGCCCGTCTTCTCAATCGTTGTGTCCAACGGCATTTCAAAATAAACAGGAGTTTCATCCGCATTGCCGACTTGCGAGAAAATGTAATTGTGCTGCTTTCGCAGGTCAATTACATATCTCTGGTACTTGAGCAGCTTCTCCTCATAAGAAGCCGGCAAGCGTTGACATATTGTAGTCCGCCGTCTGAATGAGAGCCCTTGCTGCTTCATAAAGTGGTGCAGCCATCCGCGGCTCGCACGGAACTAGTGAGGTAGGCCTCGCTCCCTCGAAAGTCGCCGCGCTTCCACTTGGGCCATCTTGGTCGATACGGCGTGACCCCTGCTTCTCACATCTTCGATGAACTTTACTAGCTCCGCCTCCAGCTCAGGGTAGGCACCAGTCTTGGGGCCACGAAATGACCTACGGTTGCGGTGCGCGGCTTGTAGGCTCTCTTTATTCTTTCTCCACAGTTGTACGCAGGACTCGTCCACATCGTGCTGTCTTCCCGCTTCGCGATTTCCGAATTCCTCGGCGACGGCGATCATCTTAAGCTTTTGCTGTGCCGTGAAGGCCTGCCGCCGTACGCTACTGATGGTGACAGAACAGATCGACTTAGGCTTGGCGAACGGGTCGAGATGTGGAGAACTAGCGGTATCAACGAGGTAAAGAGCGCTCACACTCGGCGTTAACTTGACAGCACTACCCCTTCTTGTACACTGTAAGAGCACCCTCGAAACAACAGAACCGAAATGCATGCCTACTACCGCGTCAAAAAGTAGTACATTGATTTACTGGTAATATCTCTATAGGCACTATAATATCTCATATGCCTTGCTGAAATAAATACTGCTTTATTTATTATGGAACTTACTTTATTTATTATGGAACTTTCTTAGACAGCACCACCTTTTTCGGCAAGCCCTTTCCAAAAGTAAACATTGCGTCCGTGACGTAAGGACATGTGGAGGGTCACTGAGCGGCCGCGAACGTCCAAAAAATATACTTGTGGTGTGACAGTGAGATTTTACACTGAACAACCGAATTGTCTCTCCCCAAATGTTTTTCTAAACGCTTCAACGATGCAAGCAAGCGAAACCAAAATCGGCCGCAAGCTGCCGTGCTACTTGTGGAGCAACGCGAATTTGCGGAAACCGCCTCCGTAGCCTTCGCTACACTGTTAAGGGGCTTCACAGCGCAACATGCATTGCTGTGAAGCAGCACTATAGGAAAAACCCCGCGTATTATCCGCACCTCCATTTTGCCACTGAAAGTTTTGGGTTTTTGGTGCGGGTTATACATTCGAAAATACGGTATCTGAGCAGTATGTGGGAGTACAAGACTATGCAGCGAAATTCAACGGTAAACAGAGAGGATTAATTGCACAACCCAATTTTGCACGTATCGGGGTGCATCCGCAAGAGGTACAATACAGTAAGGGTACATGTCGTGCACCCACCAGAATTGCTACACGTGAAATGTCAGATGAAGCTTGTCTGGGAACATAACCTCCAAATAAATTTTCCAGCCTATAGTTGCCATTGCAACCTATACAGTCACCAGCCAAATTAGAAGCATTACATACTAATACAAAAAAGTTGCATTTGTTGTTGAGCCAACATATTGGAAACCGGTGCTGTACTTTGATCCAAACTGTGTAAAATGTGCTATATAAATGTTATGCTCGAAGAAACAGAAGCCAGTGCCTTTACCTTGATGGCCACTAAAGAAGGTGCTGCAAAAGCAGGTGTGACACAGCTACAAGACAATTTGGAGCAGAAAAATGTTGCTATTAGAGCAAAAAAAAAAATGCATATCTAGAGGAGGTTAAAGCACCCCTGACATTCAATTGAGAAGCTTGAGATGCTTGTGTTGTTTAATAGTGCTCCATGCTTGGCCACTTCTGACCGATTATTAGTGCCGAGCGCTCGCTGTAAGATATTTTTATTTGGTTTTAAAGTTATTATTTGTTTAACTTTTTCGTTACCATGCGAAATCGGTTATTTTTCATAAGTCATGGAAAGATTGCTTTTGCCAGTTTGAAAAGTGCTCCAGAACGCTTTGCAGCATACCAAATTTTACACAATGAAATGCTCCTCCCGAAAATATATATTTCAGAGCAACAAAAATATTTTGAAATGAATAAAAATGTGCAAAGTGTATAATTTTTTGTTGCCAGCTGGTAAACAGTGCAATAAATAATACTATATATGCAAAAATATTCAAAACTGACAAAACACACAATATACATTTTGAACACAAATGACCAAAGATCAATATAAAAACGAGTAAATGTTGTACAAAATGTTTCTGTTCACATAGACAAAGAAAACCGAGACTGAGGTGATGCTTCGTTGCTTGTGCCATGCTGTGAAGCATTGCTTGGTATTTCGTGAGACACAAAGAAACTTGTTGAATTTTCTCACTAATATATATATATATATTTGCAATAAGAGCCTCCATGTGTTCGAATATAGTTGGATGCCCTTGATGTCAAGAATCCCTTTATAAATCTGATGTTTAATAAACTACGCTATTTCGTCTAGCGTCACCTCCTTTAATGAGCCACCTTAATGTGCATAGGTTGGCGTTTGTATACATGCGTCGAAGCATATTTCTAAGCTTTTCGCACATCATATAAAAGAAATCTATAGCGCGAGCAGTTCTAAAACCTTTTGCGCTGCTTTGTAATCGTGGCCAAGCAGTGCTCCGTTGGCCTGCAGCTCTGCAGTTGGCGCCAGCACACCGCACCCCAGCTACAAGTGGACTTCACACATAACCAGAGTAGCTATAACATAACTGCTCTGCTATAACTGTATTGGTTTTCCACTGATACAGCATTCGCTCACTCACTTGGGTCAGTTTTGCAGTCCTCTCAGTAAGTGCATCCTCACTTGCACCGTCTCCGCATTCGATGCGAAGCCGTTGAAGAATATTTAAAGCTATCTACTTTGCCAGCTTTGGAATATCGCGCACATTCGAAGGATGGCTTACTGGTCATTCAGCTTGAGGGGCATCTTGCACAGACACAACCAACTCAGGTGACAACATGTTTCCAAGAAAGGGCACATCACCGCCTCACAAAAAAACTCCACAGAGATGCGTCCGTGCGGGCTGTGTGTCTTCATTTCACTAATGATTCAAACACTGCATGCTTTCAAGCAGTCAATCCTAATCGTGTTTTAAATTTCTGTGAGTGCAGCTTGCAAAATAGTATTGGATCACTGAAATATTTCAGGGACTATTTGCTGTGCCTCCACAGCCCTCATTGAACGAGAGCTCTACCTTTGGCTGCACTCCCGATAGCTTGTGAAACGGAGTACAGACTGGAGCAGAGAATAAGGTTAAAAGCTGTTTTGGTGCAATCTCTTTCGATAGGCAAATATGTAAAGTATGGAAAAGTTACTGCATTAACATGATTTTGAAATTCAGCAGCAGTGGTAGCCACCTACTGCCAT